GTGGAGAGATTCACTTCTTTCTGCAATCAGGGAACCACTGTCCTAGAGGAAGGAACACAGCTACCATATCATTGCACCAGAATTCTCACCATACAAGGCTGGTCCAGGAGAGAGCCATGGTGTCAAAAGCCACTGGGAAAAACAAGAAAATCAACTGGATTGTCCTTTTCCACCAAGGCAATCAAGGCAGTTTCAGAGGTGATCTCCCAGAACTGAAGCAGTACTACAACATATCCATGAAAACCTGTCTCCTCCATGCACACCTGAAGTTGATCAACTACCATCAGCTTTACTACCTTGTTACAAAAAGGTTTGTCAAACACCATACATTATTTGTCTAAAACGAAAAGCATCTGCACTTGAGGAAAAAGTGTACCTCTGTCTCTTTCAAGTGTACCACTCCCTGTCACAAAAAAAGAAGAAGAAGAAGAAGAAGAAGAAGAAGATGATGATGATGATGATGATGATGATTCACCACTCCTTAGGACATTGGGCAAAGATCCAAAGCCAGGCACTCCTTAGGGCATTGGGCAAAGATCCAAAGCCAGGCAGTAAGACCAACTCCTTCGAAGGTGCTGTTCACATCCTTAGATGACAGAAACTGAAGTTGATCCTATATAATTGGACCAGATAGTGCTCTAAATACTTCCTCTCCTACTTAGCATTGCAACAGTCTGAGAGTAAATGTGAAGGATTCCCCCAGAGTGTTAGCAAATTTGTCACACCTGCTCACAAAGGGCTCCACTGACTGAGGCAAGTGGTTTGAACCAAGCAGTTTTGTCACAACTCTTAATACCTCGCACATTCACAGCTACTGGAAGATGAGATGAAGAACTGAGCATACTTCACTGGCACTGCAGGTAGCCATGACTGAGCATTCATTCCTCTTGCCTGGTTGTATCCGCTGTGAGATTTCTGCCCTTTGTGCTTCAGCTTTCATGCAGCCCTTTTTAGCACCTAAACCAGGGAGCATCCTTAGTCTGAGGGCAACAGAGAAGGTTCTCAGAAACAACTGTGCTGAGTCAAATGCCAGGGTAGGCAGTACACTAACAATATCTCTTTTGTCTATCTGGCAAAAGTGGTTCCCCAAATGACTTCTTGCTTATAAACTCTAGAAATGATACAGACACCCCCACATCTGCAACATATTCGGTGCACCAAATATCAGTTAGCTCCCTCTCTAGTTCTAAAAAATGCACACCAGGTTAGTCCCTTCATCCATGGTCTAGTGGCAGATGAGTATCATTTAATTATGGACTGACATGTGTCAGCAATGACACAGCAACACATTCACAGCTACTGGAAGACGAGATGAAGAACTGAGCATACTTCCCTGGCACTGCAGGTGGCCATGACTGAACATTCATTCCTCTTGCCTGGTGGTATCCGCTGTGAGATTTCTGCCGTTTGTGCTTTAGCTTTCATGCAGCCCTTTTTAGCACCTAAACCAGGGAGCATCCTTAGTCTGAGGGCAACAGAGAAGGTTCTCAGAAACAACTGTGCTGAGTCAAATGCCAGGGTAGGCAGTACACTAACCATATCTCTTTTGTCTATCTGGCAAAAGTGGTTCCCCAAATGACTTCTTGCTTATAAACTCTAGAAATGATACAGACACCCCCACATCTGCAACATATTCGGTGCACCAAATATCAGTTAGCTCCCTCTCTAGTTCTAAAAAATGCACACCAGGTTAGTCCCTTCATCCATGGTCTAGTGGCAGATGAGTATCATTTAATTATGGACTGACATGTGTCAGCAATGACACAGCAACAACAGTATGCATTTTCCACGGTTATGGTCAAGATGACCAAAAAGGGATAACAGCCATCAGATATCTACCATTCCTTCCACTCATCTGACTCATCCTACCAGAAACATCATATCTCCCCTTTACCCACCATCATGGCAATGGATTGCCTATGGCACCCACTTATCCCCTTCCTCACACGGTCATATTATGGCTTCACACTTGACTCAAATCATCCATAAACTATAATAAGCTTGTTGATTGCAAAGATTATAAAACAACAACAACAAAGTACCGAACAATAAACAAATGAAAAACATGGTGAAAGGAAAGAGTATTTGCCTTTGCCCCATAATGAACTCTACCTGGCCCACCTGTTGCCGTAGAATATGACAGAATCAAAGAGGGAAAACACTACAGGGTGAAGTAACAATTGGATTACCAGTTCACCATACAGATGTGCATACATATACTGATTTACTTCATGTCCCCAGTAATTTCTCCTATTCGGCCTGTTCTCTTAGCCAGATTTTGCTAATAGCCCCATATGCTTCTAGTTTCCACCTAGTCACAAAGGAGGGATCCCAACATCCTTCTGTCAAAATTCTCACTGTAAGGCCTTCCCATCACATCTTCCTAACTCACATCTGGAAATTTTGCTAAACCAAATCCCAAAGTGACAAGGACAGTGGCACTCCCACAAACACTGTGTAAAAGAACCGTAAATGGAAATAAAGTGGATTACAACATCTGTCTATATGTTCTCAACTTGCACTCTCTCCTCTGATGGTCTCCCTCATCCTGCCGGCATAGATATCAGTAATTTTTTTTAAAAAAAACATAAAAGTTTAAAAAAATTTAAATCAGAAATTTCAGATTTTTATTTTAAAATTACTTTTTAAAAAGTCCTATGTGATGTTCCTAATTGGAAATGTATCATGGCTCAAAGATGTCATTATAAAATAAAAATGATGCATTCTAATTCGATGTTGGGAGACAATTAATTCATATAATCTTATAAACAACTTTTAAAATAAGATTCCACAGTTCTTGAATTGGAGGCTCAATCTTACAGAGCTCTATAGGCTTCTGCAGAGATTAGTACTTAGCCCAATAAATCCATCAAAAAAATCTGAAGTACCCAAACTGGGCTTATGTCTCCACAGAAAGTACTATTAATATCTCCAGAACTGTTTTCAATAGTTTCTTTGAATGATCTTGATTCCTACTCTACTCTTTGCTCCGCTATAACTTTTTGTGGACAAAGTGAAGTCCTCTTTTCTTTCTCTAAAAGCACATACTTACTGATACCTGAAAATGTCATGAATAAAACAAAAGCAGTGTGCTGCTTATATATTGCTTAAAGCACTCTCTGGGCAGTTTACAAATTAATTATGTAAGGCTACACATTCTCATCCCCCAGCAAACTGGGTCCTCAATTTACTGATGTTGGAAGGATAGAATGCTGAGTCATGCTCTAGCTCAGTGGTTCTTAACCTTTTTGAATGAAACGCCCCCTTGAGCCATTGAGGAAGTTATCATTGCCCCCCTTCCCACAGCGATATCTTATTTTTATTTATTTATTTATTTATCTTATATGCCCCCCTACTCTACCCAAAGATCTCTGGGCGGCTTACAACAATTAAAATACAATTAAAAGATAAAACAATTAAAATACAATTAAAATCTTGGTCCATGAGCCACTCCTGCTTAAATTCGGTCAAGTTATTTAGGCACATAAGGCAGAAAATTCCACAAGCATTTTTTCCTGTTGCCGGCAATAAAAACACAATAATAATAGTTAATTAGTATAATTTAGTTAATATAAACAAATCACTTAGTAAAATAAACTAAAAGTGTACTGCTTTTTCACAGCATCCCAAACCATGCTTAGTGACAAGCCAGCCCTAACACAAAGGTAACAGCAGAAGCATTGGGCGGATATAAAGTTGAACTTAGACTGTGGTGTAAATTACCTGATCTCATCAAGATCAAATTCAGATCATGAGTAAAATCTTGACTCCAAAACTGTTTAATCATCGCACCATGAGGCTTATCTGAGTTGGAGTCAATCCAGAAAGAATCTTGTAAAGAAAGCTGACCGCCGAGGAATTGATGCTTTTGAATTGTGGTGCTGGAGGAGGACCTTGAGAGTCCCCTGGACTGCAAGGAGAACAAACCTATCAATTCTAAAGGAAATCAACCCTGAGTGCTCACTGGAAGGACAGATCCTGAAGCTGAGGCTCCAATACTTTGGCCATCTGATGAGAAGAGAAGACTCCCTAGAAAAGACCC